AAGTAAATACTAAATAAACACAGCTCCGACTTGGAAATCTGAACGTTCTTAGAGATTGCTGTTAATTATAATGCTTCAAGACGATAATTCGAGCGGGATAGCAACGTTTACCTAATTTCAAAACCAAATTAAGATGGTTTGCTTGGACTAATTTGAGAAAATGCTTTGAGTTTATCTAAATGCTCATTATGGTGGCTATCCAAAGACTGATAAATTAACAGACAAGTAAAGACTTTTAATTCCAAGCGACTAAACTCACGGCTGTAGATCGGCTTTAGACGAGTGATGAGAGAGTCCACGAGCCCCGTTTGCCAAAACATCAGCGGCCAATGCAGCTGCTGCAGCAGAAGACACAGATGAGGCAACCGAGCTGCCTGGTGCAAGACCTGATGAAGAGGCGACTGAGGAGGCCGAAGAGGCCACAGAGCCTAAAGAACCCATACCACCGACCAACTGGCTCGGAGGCAGAGATATAGGCGTACCGCTGCGCGAAGATTTAACATCGATAGCCTCAGCTGTTGCCACATTGGAATCGCCGTTGGTCATGTTGCTTCGATCACCACCACCATTTGGAGCGTAAAACAGAGCAGAAGTGAGACTAAGAGATGCGAGCCTAAACGCCAGGGCAGAAGTGAGGCCTCCAGAGTAGTCCACCTGAGGACTTCTGAAAGTCTCACAGGTGCCTAAAGACTGGCTATTAGCGCTGATGCTGTTGCTATTGCTACTGCCAAGCCCGCTTTCTGCGCTAGCACCAAAGTAGGAGGCTACTGAAGTTACTCCACCAACAGTGGAGTTGTCGGGCGACTGAGATGATGAATTATGGGATGGAGGATGAGGCCGACGACCAGCAGTTGAAGGGCCAGAAGGTGCGCGAGCCAGACTATTTGTTGCTAACGTGATCTGATCACCGGAAGCGCCACTAGTTAGAGTTAAAGTGGCAGTCTTTCGTCTGCTGAGGCTAAGAAAGCCACAGTTAATGGACCCGCCGGTGTTGTAACCACCAGTTATGCTATTATTAGAGGGCAAGCCAACTAGATAAATGATATAAGTGAGAAGGATTATGAAATAAAAAACAAGTTTCATATATGAAATGTATGGCATACTTTTTATATTGTTCGAAAGGGCAGATGGAAGGGATCCATTAATTGGACTCACAAGATACCGAATAGGGTTTGACTTGGACTTGTGACTATTGGATTGTGCGAAGAAGACGTCCTGTGGCCCCGATGAATCAGTGCTGAGTATGGTAAGCCGAGGTCTTCTTTGCATAATCCAACAGTCACAAGTCAAAGGCAAGCCTCCTTCAGTATCTAGTGAAGCCAATTTACTAATCCCTATCACACGCCTTTTCAAACGAAATGAAAGATATGCAAGCACCAAGCAACTAAGAGCTTTTTCGAGACCCAGCTTTTCTTCATAAATGTATGAAACTTGGGGGAAAACAGTGGTGTATCTGCTACACCAACATAAGTTACCCTATAAATATGTATTGCCAGATGATCCTTCAGACTAAGAAACACTAATGGGTGAGGCTACATCAAAAAAAGCTTATATAGAAGATGCATTACTAAAGATCCATGCAACCATATAGCTTGGCTTCTTTAGGTTTAGGACAGTTTTATGTAAGTCTTTACTTGCATAGGATAGGACGACTTACACCTGCATTTTCTTATTTAAGCATCATTTTAAAAAATGATAATCAACTGGCTATTAACAAAATATTTATATAGACTATTTGATGTTAATTCTAATAATAATTAGTGAGTAGCCTGATTTGGAGACAGATTTGTTCATATACTTTCCAAAAATGCCTTTAGATTAGTTTTGACGGGGCCTTACAGATAAGGAGTAATGAAAAAGACTGTTGAAGTAATTTGGCGGAGTAAAAGTACAATGGAATCTTAGTTAACAGGAGGTGCTATCTACATTATCTCCATAAGGAAGCATTCATTATGCGCTTTTATAGGAAATGGAAGTCTCCACAACAATAGTTTTATGTAGCCTAAGGTACAAAATGTTTCCTTTTAACTCACACCTCCATATTTTGAGATCTACTGGAGGTGCCGATGAGACTTGGACAGTCAATGAGAGATGAAAGCGGCACCGAGAGATGATTGGCAAATTAAAATTCAAAATTAAAGCCAACACTTATCAAGTTATCGTGGACAGAGTGGCTATACGTCTAATATAAACACCAATAACAAGTAGATCCCGGTGCGCAACGTAATAATTAGTTAAGGCTGATTTTAAAATAGAAAGTAATTTGGGAATTTTAATTCCTTATAGCAAATATTTTAGATAAAGTAATATGAATGCAGAGATACAATAAATACTTGGCTAGACCATGATAATGGGCACATACCTATCAACAAAATCTCTTGAACTAGTATAACGATGATCATACATTCAATGTATATTTTGACTGCCTCAAAACACAGAAGAAAGTTTTTAGTAAAAAGATATGAATTTGACAATTATTTGTGATCCAAACTGAGTTTCAGGGCGGACGATCGCTTTTAGGGCCTAATCTGAATTAGGATCTGAGTG